ATATTTATTAGATTGTAAAACTGCATGGTATTCCTTCAAGTATTGTGTCTGATAGAGATCCAAGATTTACATCGAGGTTCTGGGAGAGTTTACAGACAGCTTTGGGTACTAATTTGAGGTTGAGTTCTGCCTATCATCCGCAGACAGATGGATAGACAGAGAGAACTACCCAGTCGTTAGAGGATTTGCTGAGAGCTTGTGTGTTGGATCGAGGTGGATCATGGGATAATCTTTTGCCGTTGATTGAGTTTACCTACAATAACAGTTACCATTCTAGTATCGGAATGGCACCACATGAGGCTTTGTATGGTAGGATGTGTATGACTCTATTGTGTTGGTATGAGTCAGGCGAGAGTGTTGTACTCGGACCTGAGATTGTGCAAGAGACGACTGAAAAGATCAAGATGATCCAAGAAAAGATGAGAGCGTTGCAGAGTCGTCAAAAGAGTTACCATGATAAGAGGAGGAAAGCACTTGAACTCCAAGAGGGAGATCACGTGTTTTTGAGAGTTACGTCGATAGTTGGTGTTGTCCGATCTTTGAAGTCTCGAGCTCACATCGCGTTTTATTGGTCCATATCAGATTTCGCAGAGGGTGGGGGAAGTAGCATATCGGATTGCTTTACCGTCGTAGCATGCGAATTTGCATGATGTGTCTCATGTGTCTTAGTTGAGGAAGTACATTCCAGATCCGTCACATGTGATTCAGATGGATGATGTACAAGTGAGAGATGACTTGACTGTTGAGGCGTTTCCAGTACGGATGGTTGGACGAGAAGTGAAGAAACTGCGAGGTAAAGAGATTGCCTTGGTAAAGGTATTGTGGGGAGGACCAGCTGGAGAATGTTAGACTTGGGAGCATGAAGATTAGATGAAGGAGTCGTATCCGACTCTGTTTCCTTGAGGTAATTTTCGAGGGAGAAAATTCTTTTAAGTGGGGGAGAGTTGTAACACCCCAAATTTATTGGAATATTTATTTAATTTATTTAAATATGAATGTTCGTATTTTTGGTGATTTTCGGTGGTTGGTGTGAAATATTGAGAATTATGGATTTTGGGTTATTTATTTAAATAATAGTATATAATATGAATATATTAGTATTATTATTAATTTAAATAAATATAAGTGAATTAAGGGCAAAATGGATATTTGAGGAGAAGTTAATGAAGGTAATATTGGAAAAGCCCAATTTATAGGCCCAAAGTTAGGTTTAACAAAAAGGGAATTTTGAGGGAATTAGGATTCATTCTTGTTAGACTGTGAAAAGGGAAGAAATAGAGGTCAGAGCTCTAAGGAAGAGGCTTGAGGCAAAAGCTTCGCAGGGTTTCCAAGAATCAAAGAGAAGGCTTATAGTCGGCAATTAAGGTATGGGGAGTATTCCCTTCATTGTTTTTAATGTGCGATTTCAATGTGTTTAAGACCGATTTAAGGGTTTAAGGGTAGAAGGTTTTGTGAGCATTTGTATTGTTGTTGCCTTTTTAAGGTGTAAGAGTCTTAAAGGAATTTGAATTGATGATCTGATAGATTTGAGGTCGATTTGGGTTTGAAGAAAAGTAGGCCCTCGTGGCCAAAATTTGTCGTTGAGGTTTCAACCATGTAGGGTAATTAGATTGTGAGAAACTCTAATGTCCGTGGTGTAGTTGTAAGGAATTATGAGAATTAGAGTTGAATATGGTACGGGATTGGCCTAATAAGTCGTAGATTTTGTGCCTTTATCGCCGTAATACCTTAGGAATGATTTAGGGATGTCTTTGGGTTATTGGGGAAGTGAATCGTGTGGACTTTTGGGTTGGTTTTGGTTCTGGTGCGTAACTGTGTTTTGCTGTAATCGCGTGTTCGCACAACGAAGAATCCTTCACACAACGAATAAACTCGCCCCATACGTGCACATCGAACTTGCTAGTAAACTTAGCAGAGTTTTCGTGAATTCCGATTTTGTGCAATGATGCCTTGATGTTTTGATGTTGTGATTTCTTTGACGAATTAATATGAGTATGACTGTGATTTCTATGTAATTAGTACATGATTATATGATGATTCCTATGATGTAATGACGATGAGTTTTTATGATTCTATGATGAGATGATATATGATGATGATTTTGATGAATGATGGTGCACCTATGATGTTATTATAAGGATGATTATTGACGTGTGCATCATGCATTCATGTGCATCCCGACTTTGGTTCAGGACCTTGATTTCTTTGGCTTCAGTCCCATTGTGCGGATGTGAGGTGTTTTGATGTGCTCCGGTTCTTGTATATAATCGATCCTATTGATGGGAATCTATGGAGGGTTGATGGCCCAGTGTCCATCGAGCTGTGTTGATTGATACCACATGCATGAGTCTTGTTGCATTTGCATTTATGAGATAATCTTGAGTAATTTATGATGTTGCGGCCTTTGATGCACATTGATGAATATGATGATGCATAATATGAAAATGACATTGTTTTATATATTGATTCCCTATATTGATTATTATGAATCGTTTTACTCACCCTGTCTGTTTGAATGTTGCCTCCACGTGGGTAACGTGCAAATGACTAGATTTAGCCGTGAACGTCGTCAATGATCTTTTTGGAAGTGTAACATCGGGTTGGGGTCTTTGCGTTAAACCATGTTTTATTTGATTTTTGTTATTTTTATTATGTTTCCATACAAGGAAAACTTTGGATTATGCCTTTTGAGTTCAGCTGCCTTTTGAGCAATTTTTGATAACTTTTGGGAAAATCCGTTGTTTATGGAGCGTTGACCTATATTTGATTTATTGGGAAATGTATGCCCTTTGAGGTAATTTTCTTTGAGTTTAATATTTTAATCTGATAAATATGAATATTTTGCCATTAAAACTGTGGGGGTAGAAAAGGGTGTTACAGTTATTCCTCTTACCAAAATGACTCACGCTATCATATATGTTATTCATTTTTTGTTAGTTGCATTATGTAAAACAACAGTGGTGTTTCATGTTGTTTTATGCAAACCAACAATGGTTTTTCATGTTGTTTTAGAGTAAAACAACAATGATGAATTATTTGGTCATATACAAACCTTCGAGTATGCTCCACACATCTGTTGTAGTTTTTTTTCTTTGAAACCTGCCTCAGAATCTTATCACTAAGGCTCAAGATGATTCCATTATGGGCTTTCTCCACCATCGTCATCTTCTCCTTTCGCGTTAGGGAAGCATTCATGGCTTCGACTGCCTTCAACGCTTATAGAAAACCTTGTTGAACAAAGAATAACAAAGTACATAACTAACTTAAGACACTACATATTAGATCAGACTTCAATTACAACATGCTAGATCAGAGTACATAACAAAGTACATAATTAACTTAAGACATTACATTCTAGATTAAACTTCGACTACAACATGCACATCTTGGAATATTACATGTTACATTAAACATCAACTAATGCATACCACAATCCAGTTGAACCAAGATGCTATCCATGTCGAGACTAGAGCTCAATCCAAAATACCACATAATTAAAGCTATTTATATTTTTGCCATTAAATATAATATTTCATTTACCATAAACACGGTAAATTTTTTTATTTATAAATATTACTAATTTTATAAAATGCAACTGGATTTTCTTCTCATAATAATTGTAATTGCCATTTTTATTTACATCTACTATATAATAATTTCTTTTTGCATTTATACATCAGTTAATAATAGGTACTACTTAAATAAACAAATCATATCAACTATTTCTATGACAAAAATAAATATTTTACCTATACATTATCTTATAAACATTATTTCTTATTTGGTCGGTATTTCATTTATCTTTAAAATTTATAACATAAAATTTAAAAAATAGTTATAAAACTATAAAATTAAAAGAATTTATTTCATTCATAAAGATAATATCTCTACTTATATTTCATAAATTATGATATAAGTTTTTCTTTTTAATATAATTTTATAAAAATTGTTCAAATCCTCAATGATCGTATATGCTTTTATTTAGAATATTTTCATATTCTTAAAAATATTTAATAATATGATAAAATAGCATGACATCTTATTTAAAAACAAGAATGAAAGACTGCGATTTTGTAAGTAAAAATATCCCATTAATAGTTGTTAAAATATTTAAATAAGTTTTGTAATAAAAGACAAAATTTTACTTTTTCTTTAATTTTTATTATTTATTTTTTTAGAAATCATTATTAAAATAATTTTTTTAAAATTACTCATGTTTTATTTTTTATATATTATTAAAAAAATAATTTTTTAAAAACCCCTTATAATAGTTACGCCCTAAAGGAATTGAAATATATGATAACTAATTAATATATTTTATAAATTTAATTGCAATTTTAATCTCTATTTTTTTCTTAGGTTTTGATCTTGCTAAAATTATAATTTTGACTTTTTTTAAAATTTTGTGACGGATTTAGGCCGCTTTTTGAAATTAAAATCTAAACACAAAAATTTAAAAAGTGATAAAAGATATGATTTTTAAAATAGAGGATTAAAGTAAAAAAAATAAAGAAAAACAAAATAGAAGATCAAAATTTATCTTATATTTGAAAAAAATATTAAATATTTTTGTGTTTTGGTTGAATAATAATACATTATAAGTAATATTTCTTAAAATTTAAATTTAAATTTTAAAAAAATGATATTAAATGACATAGGTAATATTTTAGAATATCCTAATGTTTACTATTTTAAAATCTCCTAATTATATTTTAATTGCATTAATTGTTACCGGAACGTCATTGTCATTACGGTCCTTCCTATTGCACAAATTATTAATTACTCTTTATGCATTATTACTATTATTTGTCTCCCACGTGCAACGGCACGTGTAAAACTTTTACTATTTTCTTTTTCAAAGCACGTGTAGAAGTAGAAGACCAGAGTATCATTTTTCTTTGTTGTTGACTTTTCTGTCTTTGTTTCGCTCTCTGGTTTCACCTAACCAACGCAAACCTTCGCAGACACAGTGCCAGAACCTACTTTTCCGGTCGAGGAAGATGGGTTCTGTAGCAAAGAATGGACTCAACAATTATGTGAAACAGCTTCAGGAACATCCTTTGAGAACCAAGGTTCATCTTCTTTCTTATTGTTGTTTGGTTTTGTTTCATTCAATTTGTTTTCCCTAATTTTTCTATGTTTCTTTGTGAGGTCAAATAGGTAATTACTGCAGGGGTGTTGTCGGGGATAAGTGACATAGTGTCCCAGAAGCTTACTGGGATTCAGAAACTTCAATTTAAACGACTTTTTCTCAAAGTGGTTAGTTACCTTCTTTTTCGTTTTGTTTTTCAATCTTTGTCGACCATAGTTTATGACAATTTTTAATTAAAATAAATTTAAAGTCCTTGATTTGTGAAATGAGTATTTTCTATGTAGCTCTGATATTTCTGGAAAAATGTGTGTCCGCTTCCTACACCTGCACCCGACATTTATGTTTATGTTTAATTTATTCATTTGTTCGGGGTGTATGTGCTTCATAGAATATTTTAGATGTTGAAACCCAATTTCAAATTACTCGAAGGGTTTGGTGGACTATGTAGTATGAACTATGAAGCACTTACAATGGACATCATACTGACACGAAGACACGGGTAATAATAATATAAGAAAGTTTATGTGATTCAATGTAACTACGTGTGTCTATGTCGTGTTGGTGTCAGATCACCAAACACTATTAATCTGAAATTCCGGTGTTACATGGTCATGACCAAATTGCTCTGCACAGTAAGTGGACAAGGATACTCTTAAGTCGAAGGTTCCTTAAATCATCGTTTAGAGAGAGGGTGAATTGGTACAAATCTGTGTTGTCTCCTAAGGAGAGAACTTGTTGAGAGATCCAAAAAGCCAATCTCAAACTTATACAAGAAACTATATTTTAGAAAGCTCATGTTACAAGATTTTTTCTGATATTTGTGGAGTGTTTACTGAGAATTTTATCTTATTACTAAGTGCTTGTTTGAGTTCACTATGAGTTTGCTAAAATCATAATGGTAGCGTGATTTTGTAGAAGCTCAAAAGTGTAGCTTTTGCCAAAAATGCGATGACTCACTGTGATCTTGCCAATGTTACATCAAACAAAACACGCACTAAGTTGGTTGGTGCAGTTATCGTCTATTAAATCTCCAATATTCTTGTGGATAAGATGATACTAGATTATTGAGGATGGACTTGAGTTTAATAAAAAACATGGGCCTCTATGCTCAAACCTGTTCTTTTTAAAATGCCGAAAATTGGATCTATTTCTTATCTGGTTTTGCCAAAAGAAAATATATAGAGAATTTTTTTTATAAGGGTCTATTCTGCAATGTTGCTGCTCATTTGAGCTTTGACTTTTTCACATCATTTCTTTTACAGTTATTGCATATTTCTCATTGATTTATCTTATTTACCATCACATTTATCTTCCTTTACAATCATTTCCCATTTTACTACAGTTTTGATTGTCTTTTGTCTTCCTTTGTTATATACTATATATATGCATTGTAGGAATCATATAAATATGTTATTGCATGCAGTTTCTTGGAGCCGCTTATCTTGGACCCTTTGGACACTACTTTCATATAATATTGGAAAAGATTTTCAAAGGAAAGAAAGATTCAAAAACTGTGGCAAAGAAGGTGATATTGTAAAACCTTTTGTTCTTATTACCGCATCCATCATGTTATCAATCTGCTATTTTTGCGGTGTTTATAGCATGAATTTCAGTTAAGTTATTACGCACTGTTTGAAAATATATATTATATACAAATTCAGTGTTAGCAAAATGTGATACATGACACTTAAAATGTGAATGAATTTAGTTCTTAAAGCTAATAAAATTCCAAAGTCCAAACACATTTTACACAAGACCTTATTTATAATTGAAGAAGTCTTTTTTTTAAACTATTTTATTTTACAACATGAGAAATAACTTGCCATTTTTAAAGAACTATTCTTTGTTTGATTTTTTTCAGGTTCTGATTGAACAGTTGACATCTTCTCCTTTGAACAATTTGCTTTTCATGATTTACTACGGATTAGTCATTGAAGGTTAGTCATTTTTGAACATCAAACTTTTTGCATTTAAACTGAAGGAACATGTACATACACAAAGTCAAATATTACATGGAAAATATGGACAAATAAAATAATTATCATTAGTGTCAAAACTAGGGTACTCATCCCAATGACATTCATATTCAATTAGTAATTCATTTATCTTCAAAAAAATATTGAACAAGTTATCATAAAATGATATGTGGACATAAACCTGCATATCTGAGTTGTAAGAAGCTCAATTTTATTTAAGGTCTCTAGTCACATGTTGGTACTATGAGAGCTCCATAATTGGGTCAACTCGACTTGAAGCCGTATACAAATGGACTATGATGAGTTACCAGTGTAAAAAGTTTTACACAAACAACGCATCGAGATTAATCTCATTTGTAATACGATCAGTCACATCTTTATCCGACTTTCATGTATGTGCAAAATGGCATGCCTTACATTTATGTTTATAATAAAAATGTGGACCGCAGGGCAACCTTGGGTGAATGTGAAAGCTAGAGTGAAGAAGGGTTATCCATCAGTACAATACACCGCATGGATGGTAATCTTGTATTACAACTTTAGTTTCAAACAGAATTTACTTTATTGTTTCTGACTCTAAGATCTCCAATGAATCGAACTGCAGTTCTGGCCCGCAGTTGGATGGATAAATTACAAATTCATGCCGCTTCATTTCCGTGTTGTTTTCCACAGCTTAATAGCATTTTGCTGGTACACCCTCTCTCTATAACTTCGTAAATGTGCTTTGTTGGTGGTTTGTGTGCTTTGCAATGCAAATAGTTGTTGCAGACAAACGGCCTCTACCACTGCCACTGCCAATGCCACAAACATTTGCAATTGTTTTCTTCTTGGAAAACAACTTAAATGAAATAATTCTGTATAAATGTCTATCTTATTTCAGGGGAATATTCTTGAACCTTCGAGCACGATCTATGACATTGACTAAACCTTGAAGGAAAGGAGATTCCAATTTATAGTCTTGAAAAATTAAGGAAGACAAATTTTCTTCCAATAATATTCCTTTAGAAGTTTGTTTTGTCCTTGTTTTGTGTGTAATTTTCTTCGAATATTCGAGATAAAACAGTGATTAAGGAAAGACAAATTTCAATGATGTTTATGACAACTTTGTATATGAGACTATGAGATAATAAATATTTGGAAAATTACTGCAGAGTATTTTTTCTTTCTTCCAAGCCATTTTACCAGTGAGATATTCATAGTTAATGTGTTATTACAAACATTGGAGGTTCATAAATAAAACAGCAAAAAATGTTATTAAACTATATGTGATGTGAACATGAAAGATAGATTTGGCTTCATTTACAAGTTCAAAAATGTTAAACGTGAGTGGTCAGAAAAGAAACCTTTGACCATTTTGAGTAAGAGGTGGTAAAGTGACAATGCTAAACTTTGGACATGTATTCTTATTTTCTGACAAAAGTAGACAGACCGTGTATATGTAATTTTCTTATATCAAACATGCTTAAAAGTCTATATAATTTCATTATTTTTTGTACTTTGTTATGCGCATATATGAACATTTTTAGATAGAACTCTATCTAAATTTATAATTTAATAGAGAAAAAAAATCCCATGTCACAAAAGTAGGTGACATTTTTATTATGGTTAGTTGGTTACTCTAAATTCTCAATAAGTAATCATATTTAAAACGTTTCTACATTAAATATGAATACACCACTCAATAGAATTCACATAAATTCACAGATAAAAATTATCAGTTGATCTATCTGATTTAGTTTAATTTAATTTAGATCGGTTTATATCCAAATTATAAAATAATAAAAAAAATTAAAGATTTGATATAATATATAATATATTATTATTAAAACTTATAATTTAATGTTTTGTCGAAAACTAGCATTTTATTATGTCGAAATAGCTAGTTTGAAGTATAGGAATAAAGTTGTATTTGACTCTGTTGAATACAACATTTAGTTGGCATGACGATATGTTTTTGGCATTTGTCGAATTGTATAGTTTTGGACATAAGTTTTTGTTATCTATATAAAAGGCTTTGTATGATGTAAATAAAAAGAACTTCACTTAATACGCATTCTAATTTTCACAATTCAGTCTTTAGTTTTTCTCTCTTTTCTCTCTTCTTCTTCTTCTTGTTTCATCTTTCTTGAACAAAGGGTTTCCAACAAATTGGTATCATGGAGCCCGGTTGCGACTCAAAGAGAATATGTAATGACAAACAGAACAACAACATTAACGCAATTTCCAGCGAATCTACTAACTTTCAAAGGGGAGAACTACAGACAGTGGGTTGCGCAAATGAAGGTCATCTTCAGATTTTAAGATGTGTCTGAAATCATGAATGATAGAGTAATGACATTGAAAGCGAATGCAGATGATGTTCAGCAAGCCGCGCACAAGAAACGAAGAAAGAAAGATAGAAAAGAATATTGAAGAAGAAACACCAAAAGAAGCGTGGGACAAGTACAATGGAAATGAAAAGCTGAAGAGAGTGAAGTTGCAGATGTTGAGAAAGAAATTTGAGATGACTCAGATGAAGGAAGATGAATCAGTCTTAGAATATATTTCACGTGTGGTGGTGTTAATGAACCAAATGAAGTCGTGTGGTGAATCAATCAACGATTTACAGAAGATTGAGAAATTGTTGAGATCTCTGACTGCAAAGTTTGATTATATTGTATTGTATATTGAAGAGTCCAAGAACCTAGCGGAGATGAAGTTAGAAGAACTTCAAACTACATTAGAGGCTCGTGAGATGAGGCTAAAGCAGAGGAACTCAGAAAGGGCGAAGGTGGATGAACAGGCACTACAAGTAAGATTCATCAATAAATCTGAGAAAAGAAGGGAAATAATCTTGTTAATGATGAAAAATCAAGCAAGAACTTAAAGAATCACTCAGATTCAATCAAGAAAGGCATGGGCAACAAGTATTTTAGGAAGAAAGTTAACCTGAAAGAGGTGCAGTGTTACAACTGACAAGAATTTGGTCACTATACTTGAGACTGTCGAAGAAATAAGGAAGCACGAGCAAAAGATAATGATGAAGTGCAATATGTACATGCTGAAGATAATGATTCTGATTATGTGCTACTCATGGCCAACACATAGTCGAACACTGAGCAAACCAACATGTGTTATCTGGATTCAGGATACAGTAACCACATGATTGGTAATAAGTCCTGGTTCACCAAGCTAGATGAATCAGTTGAGAAAGTGATAAAGTTTACAGATGACAAGCACATCACGTCTGGTGGAAACAGAGATATCTCTATTGTCAAAAAGGATGGTCGGAAAGCCAACATCACTGGTGTGTTGTATGTACCATCGATAACAAGTAACTTGATAAATGTATGTCATTTACTTGCGAAAGAGTACAACATGAATATAGAAAAGAATCATAAAGCTATATCATAATGATGGAAGGCTGATTTTGAAGGCACCCTTGGAAGACAACAGGACCTTGATAGTAGAGATCAACCCAGTTAATCACAAGCATCTCACTTCGATTGTAGAAGAAAATAAGAACTGGCTATGACATCATAGGTATGAATATCTAAACTTCATAAGTTTAGGTATGCTCATCCAAAAGAAGATGGTGTATGACTTACCTCAGGTGAAAAAATCAATTAAGGCATGTGAGGAATGTTACAAAGCAAAGCAGGCTAGGAAAACATTCAAGCATGACTTGCCAATGAGGTCAAAGGAAAAGCTAGAGTTAGTTCACTCTGATGTGTATGGACCATTTGAAGTGAGGTCGAATGGAGGTAACTACTACTTCTTAACCTTCATAGATGAATTCATTAGATATATGTTGACTTATCTTATTGAAAGGAAATGTGAGGTATTCACACAGTTCAAGAAGTTCAAATTGCATGTCAAAAAGTAAAGTGGATGCAAGTTGAAGAAATTAAGAACGGGTGATGGTGGTGAATACACTTCTCGAGAATTTGCTAAATTTTGCAATGAGGAAGCTATAAAGCATGAGGTCATTACTGTTGGTGTAAGCCCTAGAGGCCAATACTTTTTGGTACTTGTATCGGATTATTCGTTTAATAATAAAAGGTATTTCTTTATTATGTTTGTCTTTCAGAATAATAAAGTCCCTAGAATAGTTAGTCTGTTTAATGAAATGTTAAGTGTGACTTAATCATGAGATCCCATTAAACATAAAGACATTATTCTTAAAATATCCGTAGTCAAGCTTTATTGCAAAGTGGGATAACATTAAAAGCATTGAGACTATTATGAAGATAGACTGATGATCACATCTCATGGATCATGGATAAAGAGTTATCAAGTCTTGACATAGGTATAAATATTAGGAGTAATATTTATACCGGATTGACCCGCTATGAGAATACTACATAGTATGTTATGCAAAGTGTCATAAGTTATTCTCATGGTGATAATGGTGTATTACCACCCTTCGACCTGAAACCACTATGGACCCTAGATGTAGAGTCGGGTGCTTTATTGCTGATCAAACATTATTCGTAACTGGATGATCATAAAGACAGTTGATGGGCACTCCACGAAGCATGCTGAGGGACATGAGTGTCCTAGATGGAATTTGCCAATCCTGCATAACAGGAGAAATGTCTAAGGGCCCAATATTGAACTGGACAAGGATGACACAGAGTATGCCTTGTGTTCAATATAGACATAGGGGCAAAAGGGTAATTGTACAAACATATATTATCACGAAAAAGGTTTTGTCAGATCACATGACATTTTTCGTGACTTGGGTAGCAGTGATGTGTTGCTAGATACCGCTTACTGTTTATTATGTTAAATATATAATTTAATATAATTACCAACGTTACGAAATCCTACAGGGTCACACACATAAGGACAGTTTGATGAGAGATAGAGAAATCAAAGGAACACCGTAAGGTACGGTGCACTTAAGTGAAAATAGAAATTCGGATAATATAATAATAATTATTGTTATTTTATAATGGTTATAAAATAATAATAAAATAAATATATTTATTATAATAATAGTTATTATAATAATATATAATATTATTATGGATCATGTGAATTAGGGTTTTAGCCCGCAGCCCACAAGAGAGTCTATAAAAGGAACCCTTGTGATGAAGCTTTCACTTGATGCAATTTCGTTTTTGATTCTCTTTTCTCACTCAAATAATTCCGTTCGTAAGCAGCTAGCACTGTGACCGGAAGCTGTTCGTGTGGACTGAGTAGAGGCGTTGCACCTCATCAACGCTTGTGATCGCTGCATCAAAGATCTGAATCGCCACAAAGAGGTAACGATTCTATCACTGACCATGCTCATTCGTGAGGATCACTAAAGGAAAATTTTTGTTTTCCGCTGCGTTTAGATCGCAATTTTCCTTCAATTACACCCTATACACCTCAGCATAGTGGCATAGCTGAGAGGAAGAATTGAAGTGTATTGAACATGACTAGGAGCATGTTAAAAGCTAAAGATATGCCAGATTTTGGGCTGAAGTAGCTTCGACAGCAGTATACATTCTAAATAGATGTCCAACTAAGAATATGATCGAGAAGACTCCTTATGAGGCTTGGATAGGTGTCAAGTCAAATCTTAGTCATATTAGAGTTTTTGGATCAATGTGCTTCAGGCATGTACCTGAACATTTGAGGAAGAAACTAGACGATTGAAGTCAGACTATGGTGCTCATAGATTATTATTCGACTGATGCATACAAGTTGTATTCACCAAATGATGATAAACTAGTGATCAGTTGAGATGTTCTGATGAATGAAAGCAAAGGGTGGGTTTGGAGTCACGGGTCAGTACGACAGGAGTCAGATACTGTTACAACTGTGTTTGGAGAAAATTAACAAACTAAAGTCCCAACCAATCGAAGTGAAGTATCACTTGTGTAAAATGTTAGAAGATAGACTAGAACAAGAACTGAGTCTACAAGGCTAGCTCGATATGGGAGATTTCTAGATCAAGAAT